TATTAAGTCCATATTCTTCACCAAATTAAACCAAGATTTTGGTAGTTTCCCTTGGTTACCTTTCTTTTTCTTTGATGACCTATCCAATTCCGTCTTTACCACTCCATTAAAGTCTCCTAATACAATTGTTTTCTGGTCTTCTAACTCAATCAATCTCTCTTCCAATTTTCTATAAAACTCCGCCTTATTAGTATTAGGGGCATAAATAGTAACCTCGTTCAGTTTTTCACCTTGAAAGTTAATTTGTACTCCCAATATTCTCCCGTCCTCATCTTTACAGATTAATTTAGGTTCCCATTTTTCTTTGATGTAAAGAACAACCCCTCTTTTTTTACATACATCAGAATTAATAAACTCCTCCCCTAATCTTTTATTTTTCAAAATATGTTTATGTTTTTAGCAATATGTGTCTCTTGCAAACAAATTACATCCAGATTTTTTTCTTCAGTACATTTTCAATTTTATTCCTCTTCGATTTTTCGTTTCAACCATTCACATTCCACGTTATTAATTTCAGTGTCATTGTTATCTAATCAAAATTAACTGAAACTCTAATCGAAATTAACTGTAAAAAATGAACTGAGTTTAAATTCGAGTGGTCTTGTCCTCTAAGTCCTCCTCCTCCTCTTCTTCTTCTCCCTCTGCTTCTTCTTCTATTTCCTCCTCGCCCTCTTCTTTTCCTCTTCCTTCTTTCTCCTCCTCTCTGTCCCTCTTCCTTCTTCTCTCTACTTCTGACTCCCTTTCCCCAAATTTCTCCTCCATCTTTCCAAGCTCCTTCTCATATCTCCTTGAAAATTTCCTCACTTCTTGTATATCTGTCAACCTAAATCTTTTATTTTTGTAATAGAAGGAGATCCCTTCCGGGAACTCCCATCTATGCTGTATGCCATTTCTTTTCAGGATACTCACTAACTGTTTGTAGCCCTCTCTTTTTCGTAAAAATCTGGTAGGTATTTCTTTGAATATAATGATCGGTCTGCCGTCAGTTATCAACTTTTTTTGGTAACTTGTCTTCAGTATTGCATTCCTCATATCTAAGGAATTGAATATCACTAAACAATCTCCCTGTAACCTCTTTGATTTAGCTTGTAGCGATTTTACTTTTATTCTGAACACATTTTCCACGGTGAATTCAACCTCTTCTTCTTTCATATCAAGCCACTTTGCTAGCTCTTTAATCATTTTAACCTTAATATTTTCGTTTGTCTCTTCACCTACTCCTCTGAATTTCAGGTTTAATTGCCTCTACCTCATTTCCAGCATGGCTAGACTGTCCCAAACTTGGTCCTGACTTTTGCTCAAATCTCCTAGTTCTTCTTTGATTTTATCTGTCTCCCTCTTATTCTCTTTCACTTCCTTTTGAATTCTCTTAGTTGATTCCTCTATTGTTTTTGATCTAACTGTCAGGTCTTTTATATTATTTGAGAGTTCTCCCACTGCCCCCTCTATTTTTTTATCTTGCCTCTCCTGCACCTCCCCTAACTTCTTTTCCATGTGCTGATCACTTTGCTTGAATTCTTCCTTTATCTTCAACCACAGAGCGTCCAGGTCTTTGATTTCTTCTTGTTGTGATACTCTCCTTTCCACTGGTGTACCTCCTATCTTTTTACCATTTTCCCCTGACATTTTGATTCCACTTTTTTAGAGTATTACAAAAAAATTTCAAACTGTTTCTAAAATTCCTAGTGTAGTAAATATTTTTACCCCTAGGGGGCATACAATCCCCTTCAAATAATTTCTAAATATAAAGAGCTTTGGGATATTACAAAATTTTTCAAACTGTTTCTAAAATTCTTAGTGTAATAAATAGTTTTACCCCTAGGGGGCACACATTTCCCTTCCAATAATTTCTAAATGTAAAGAGTTTCAGTGCCGTCTCCTTTAATTTCTAACCGGCAAACCGTCTATTATCAAATACTCCACTAGATGTCCCCTCTTCAACCACTTTCCCCAACACTCTGAATATTAATTTAGCCCCCCCCCTTTTTTAACCTCCTTAATTATTTTCTCAAATTGGCCAATTCTTATTTTTAAACAAAATACTACCAGTAAAACATTTTCGTTACCACAATTTGGAAACAATCAGATCAATTATCAAACAATCAGATCAATTATTCCAGTGGGTCCTGTAAATCAATTTCAAAACGTTCAGTCCAATTGGTATGCTCAGTCCAATTAATGCAATTTGATACATGTTCAAACCAATTTGTACACTCAGTCTAATTAATGCAGTTCAATACATTCAGTTATCCCCAACTGTTTTCTTATATTCGAGATATTAATTCAATTACGTCAGTTCAATTTTCAGCCACTTGCTGGCCTAATCCCACTTGACTTGAATGCTCTTCAGCCACTTGTAGGCCTAATCCACGTTGGGGCAGATCAATTTAAAAGTTTTTGAAGGTCCAAAGATAAAATATTTGTAATCCAAAAGGTCTCTTCTTACTAAGGTGTTCTAATATTATGGTCCAAATTGTAACATGCAGTTTAGAAGGAAGGCAGCAAAAACAAAAAGAAGAAAATGGCTCCCAACTCCTGAGTCACTGTAATTCCAAAGGTCCACAAGTAAAGCACTCAAGCTTGATGCGCTTCAAATCCAATATTAAATTTAATATAAAGAGAGAAGGAGAGGTCCAAGAAGGAGGAAAATTTATTTCCACTTTCCACTCTGTTTTTTTATTTTTTCTTTATCCAAAGATAGTCTAAAGAAGAGGGAGTGTGTACAGAAATAATGTAATTAAACTGGGAGGACTGTCCATGTACTTGCAATCATTAACAGTCTGAAAGTCCCATGAAGTCAAAAAGGATGGTGTTAATGATACTAATGTTTTTTAAGACTCTGTTTATAAGTCTCTACTATTGGCTCCCAGTTCTTATTTCTGCTTGTATATTAGGCTTCCTTTAAGAGGCTTTAATTTGTATTACTAATCGTCACCCCTTCCAAAGAAAAAGAAAAGCCTCAGTATTTCTTTGTTTCAAGACCAAAAAGATAAAACATTGTTCCAATTCATCTCTTTTCACAACTCTTTGTTCCAGATTAGCCCTCTGCCTCCTCACAAAGTTGCGAAAAGTTTTTCCCTTCGTACTCACTCAGCAGGATCGTTGGCATCTTTGCTTTTCCTTGCTACTTTCTATCTCTGTGCCATTTTTTTCACCGATACAGGAAAGGACTCCTTAGATCAATCCTTCGACATCCAGAAATCTCTCAGTGTTTTCTTCCAGCTTTTAAGCTTAAAGCCCTCTACACATACTGAGAATTCTGTTTGTTGACTTTGGAGATTTATCGCTTTTCAGTAGAAGCTTAGAGACATCGAAGACACGGGGATGGTGGTGCTTCCCTGTCACGTCCGCAGCTCCGTCCGCTCTCGAGCCTCTTAAAAAAATAAACCCGAAAAAGCAGGGGAGCCACTTTAACGTCGCTGGGTGCCCTGTCCCTCAAGGCTTTTCCCCTTGAGGTTTGGGGGTGCGCAGTGCCCTTGCGCCACCCCTCAAACCCCCGCGCTACTCGGAAAACCGCAGAGCAATTTTCCTCGCTCCTACTATGTCCACGTGTAAACCGGAAGTCATCCTTAGTTTTATTGTTTCAATTTAACTCCCTAGCAAGTTGTTTAGCATGAGAAAGATTCAAAACCCGCTTGCGGTACTCACAATCCACTCTCCGCAGTTCCGCCGATATTCTTGCGTCTAAGTTCAATTTCAGATGAAGCTTACCTCCGCTTTTACTTCATCTTATCCAAATCTTTTCTTCATTTTTAAAGCCAATTTGTATCCATTTTAAGATCGAATTTCTTGCTGTTTGAGAATCGGTCGCTCACCCTGCAAGCCTGGGGCTGCGCTTTCGGAGGAGAGATAATGGCTTCCCGTTGCCAGCTTCCTCACTCCGCCGTACTCCTCACTCCTTTTACAGAGGTACCTGACGGCCGGGTGGTCTGCAATTTGGCTTCGCTGGGAACCTGACCCTCTGATTTCCCTCCAGAGGGGTTTTGGGAGGCTACGGCGCCCTGTAGCACCCCCTTTTTCCTCTCGAAAGCTCGGAATTTCCCTCCTGGAAAATTCCCGCTTGTGCTGGGCTCGCAACTCAACCGGAACCCCTGTCAGCTGATTTTTGGGGTTAGAGTCAGCTCCCATTTCAGCTCCCGACAAGGACTCCCAACCCTTGTGGCTCTGACATTGTCTCTCGGTATGTCCTGGTTTCCCACACACGGAGCAACGTCTTGTTTCCTTCCAACGCCTCTCATCTCCTCACACGGATGCAGCTGCTGAGCCAGATTTGGTCCACACAGCTCCAATTTCCATGGGCTTGTCCTCCTCCCTTCTGGGCCCACCACCAGCCTTACGCTCAGGAATGTCTGGAATGCGACTTTCGCGCCAACACTGCCTACCTTGTTCTTTCCTCTCCTCTGCCCTCCTCTTTTGCCTCAACCCCAGCTGAAGACACACTTTGGTCAGGGCATCAAAAGACTCCAGTTCTGGCATCTTGTGGATTTTTCACCCCTCCCATTGCAAGAATCTGCTGACAATGTTTCAGAAAGGAGGGGGAGGAATTTGCTCATCGCTTCTTCCGCTCCAGCCTGACTTCAAAAGGAGTCTGAGTGTTATCTGTATAGAGATAAGGTGACTGCTCAAGCAACTGTAACACTCATGCAGTCCAGCGTCTCCGATTAGTCTTTAGTTAATTTATTTTAGTTCTGCAGTAGCTGTAGAAGAATAAAAGAAGTTATACTTCAGAGCCGTCGTTCATGTGGTTTATACTCTGCTGTATAAACTGAGTTTGGTGCTCACAGCTCTAAGTTGTGAGTCCATTGCACTTAGACCTGCTCCCTGCATTGGAAGGTCTCTGGAAGTGCTTTCCCAGCTCGCCTGGCCCAGTCGGGGCTGAAGAGGTTGAGCCCAGTCGTTGGCACCAGCTCAAAGGCGAAGCTGACACATCTTAGCAAGCTGATCCAAGAGATCACTATTCAATCCCTCTCGGAACAGAGCCGCCACAGAAGGAAGGAAGCCTAATAATCCCCAACAGTGTTGGTCCCCTGTTTCAAACGAAGCAACTGCTGGGAGGTCGCTATTTCATGGGCTGGATTAAAAAAGATAGAGTCCATTATTTCTACTAAGGACTTAAGGTTTGATAACGCCTGATGACAGCTCACCATCAAGGGAACCATGCAGTCCTTAGCCCTTCCATCCAGGTAACTTATGATATAAGCCACCTTTTCCTGGTCCGATTTAAATTCAGCGACTTTCAAGTCCAAGAGATACAAAATCTCAGTCTTAAAGGACATATAGTCCGAGCTTCTGCCCGTAAATCTACTAGGGTGTGCCGCAACCAGTTTACTTGCCTTCTCCGCCCTTTCTGCCTGAAGCATCTCACATTGTTCACTTAACGCTGCTACCAAGCTGTCAACCTGAGATTTTAGCTGGAGATTGTGCTGCCACAGGTCATTGAGCATGAGTTCCACCACTCTGGGCTGGCCGGCACCCCTTGCAGCTTCTTGCTCATGCACAGCTACTCTCCGCTTCTTTCTGGCATGAAGAGAGAGGATTGAGGGTATGCTGTCAGGGTGGTACACTTCTCTCTTCACCGCAATCACCACTTCCATGAGGTGAAGTTTTAAGGTCTTTATTTACAAGTATTTACAAAAGTCATTACAAGCTCATTACCATCAGTCTGAGTCCAAGAGATCAGATACCCCCAATGATATATGACTCCTTTTCCAGCATCTAAAGTGCGGGAACTTTACGACACTTCTTTGGCTCTGCCTCTTTTCCTCACGCCTGGCACGAGCCAACGTAAAACCCACCAAAAATCACAGGCGGGAGAAGCCTGTGAACGTGGGATTCGGCTGGCACCTTTTGCGCCTCCCCTACTCGTGGGGAAACCCGGTTTCGGGGATCCGGAGCGACGTGGGGTGAGTGGCGCGGTGCTTCGAATTGACTGCTTCTTTCACGGAGTGAAGCCGCATTGCTGTTGCCGGAGAGCGCTGACTTTTTCCTGTGGACAATTTGATCTTAAAACAACTACCCGTAAGTAGAACGGAAAATTGGACTTTTAAACGTCTTAATTTGGCACCGAAATGGGGAGGTTTCAAACAGGAAGTCCGCCTTCCCCTTTTGTATATAGACTGAAGCAAAGAGGCTGCAAGCTAAAGTCTTGGAAAGCCTTTCATAAAGGATTAAACTTCCAGCGGCTAAACCATCAAACCCCCCTTGGAAGCAGGAGAAGAGGGGGGAAATTTTAGAGCGCGTAAGCCTGCAGGAGAGAGTGAAGAAAGTTAAATTTCCACCGCTCTGAACCTGGAAACAGGCTGCCAGTAAGACTGAAGTTTTGGATATGCTCATTGACTGTGAATAGATCGTTTGTTGACAGTAAGTTAAAGAAGAGAAATACATTGTTTCCATTGTCTCCTTCTGCGTTTAAAAAGGAGTAAAAGTAATTGAAAATTGAAACTAACTTTATTGTTTGAACTGTGCTTAAAAGGATTGATACAAATGAAATTGTTTCCCCCTAGAGAAGCCTTTGAAATTGTTACATGAGCTGAGCTGGGAAATTTCCACCTGCAAGATAAAACTGTGAGAATCTGGGATTGACCTTGGACCGTTAAGAATGTTGACAGAAGAAGCCTTAGTGGTTGCATTATGTAAGATTAATGATTCACTGAAACAGCTCCATAAGAAGATGGATGTGAGGACTATAAAAATTGATAACTTGGAACAAAAAGTGACTAATTTGGGACAAAAAGTGAATATTAATACAGAAATTACTCAGGAATCGATACAGGGATCTATTTTGACATGGCAAATTGAGGAGAAGGCGGGGAGAAAGTGGTTGTAGTGGAACCTAAAGCTGCACAAGTGGAGAGGAGAGAACCCCAGCCTCACAGATGCAATTTGATGACTATAAGTTGATGCCTTTTAAGACTGAATTTAGAAAGTCAGACTTTGAGGATTGGAGCCCAGCTTGGACTGAAGAAGGAAAGTTGGATAGATCCCTTCATGCAGGGATTTATTGACCTTTGGGACCTGGACTTGGGTCAGGAGGAGACTGGAGTTGTGGGGACCGCCAGACTTGGAGGAACTTTGAAATACGGCTGGAAATATCTTTTGAATTTCAGTTTTAGCTATGGAGATTTGGCTGACTTGTCGAGAAGGAATAAAAACATTGCTAGATGGGAATTTCCCCGAGATCTACTTTTCAGCATCAAAGGAAGGAAAATAAGAACAAGATCAGGAGAAGACAAAGTAAAGTGCATGTATAAATATGAAGAAGACTTGCAGAAGGGACTTGGAAAAGAGTTAAGAGCCTCGGACAGAAGATCACCAGGTTGATGGACTATATGGAATTGATGGAAATGACTGGCAGAATCCGAGACCAGGGAGAAGAGACGGTGGAAGAATATTGGAAAAAGTTTAAAATCTATATATGGAAATAATGTAAAATTAATGAGTGTTAGAAAAATGTTGGAAGGGAATTATATGGCTTTAGTAGAAATGTTTTAAGGAATTAAGCATAAATAAGTATTATAGTATTAATGGAAAATAAGGTTAAAATATGTTAAGATAATCACATGACAGAAAATAGAGAAAGATGGAAAGGATTTGCTGAAATAATTAATAGAAAGGAAATACAAAAAGGGAGGTGAGAGGAGGTCGATGAAATAAGGGAATGAAAGAGAGGATATTGAGTTGATATGATGTGTGTTTTTTGAATTGTTTTTGCTCTTGTTTTGTTTAATGTGTTAATGTTAATGTTGTGTTGTGTATTGTTTATATATTGTACTGTATTGTTTTTTTTGTTTTTGTTTTTGCTTTTCCTTTTCTTTTCTATCTTCTTTTCTTTTTTTCCTTTTTGTAAGGTTTAAAAGTAATAAATATTATTTTTTTAAAAAAATGAAAGAAGGAGAGCGGCAATTTTCCTTCATTTGATAAATTAACCCTTGTTGTTCTGTCTATTTCTGTTGAGGGCACCCCATTCAAGTCTCCTATAAGTAATATGCTGTCATTGCTATAATCTCACATATTTTCCTCTAGGTTTTGTTGGGTTTTTTTTGGCAAAACTTAGCTTTTTTGTCATTAGGCGCATAAATCCCTATAATAATTATTTTTTCTTTCTTATAGGTTATTTCCACTTCAATAATTCAGTATCCCTTTTTTCTTTAATATTTGTTCTATTTAGATTCTTTTAAGTGTATTATTTAACCCATTCACGTTCCATGATAAAAAATTTAATTCCATATACTTTTATTACAGATAAATCACTGCACCAATAAAAAAACGCTTTTGTGATAGCTCTTTCTTTCTAATACTCCTGAACTTTCTTGCCACTTCTTATTGCCCTTCACTCCTCTGAACCCTCCTTCTCTAACTCCTGAACACTTTTACCTCCCAAGTCTTTCCAGTACTTTCTCCAAAATATTCCTGCTTCTCCCACAGTTCTGAAGATTTTCCTCCTTTCTTTATATGTAAAAGTAATCCCCTCAGGGATTTCCCACCTGTATGCAATTCTGTTTTTTCTCAAGGCTGCCACAAGTATTTTATAATTGTCTCTTTTTCTTAACAAGCGAGTAGAAATTTCTTTCAGAATTTCGATATTTCTATCTTTGATTCATAATCTAGCATTTCTACTCTTCTGTAATATTTTGTCTTTGAGAAGTCTTGAGTTTAAGAAGACCAGGCAGTAGCCTGGCCATTTTTCATTTTTTGACTTGTTAGATTTTATTCTGAACATTTTGTCTATTTCCATAGTCAGTTCACCCTCCTGGACTCCACGCCATGATGCTAGTTCCTCTGTCAATTTCGTCTTGATGTTTCACTATGCTTCTGAATCTCAAAATCATTTCCTTTTGTCTCATTTCAAGTGTGGCAAACCGCATCCCATGTTTCCTCCTGTATCCTCTTCAAATCTGTAATTTCTTTTTTGATTTTGTCTTGGTTTATCTTTGTCTCTTTTTGTTCATTCCGAGTTTTTTTCACGACTTGTTCTTGTTTAGATACTTTGACTTTAATTTCTTCTGTTGTTTTATCTAAGTCTTTGTTCTTTGTCTTCAACTCATTTACTTGATGTGTTAAATCTAATATTCAGGTAGAATTCTTTTCAGTTTTGTTGCCCATTGCCTCAACTTTGTCATCAAGTGCTCTTATGTTGTCATCTAGCAATTTTCTGTTGTCGCACAAGTCTTTTTACTTTGATAAAATTAATTCCTTGATGTCCATACTTGTATCTCCTTCGATCATTGATGCTCTTCTTGCTTGAGAGCTAGCTGTTGCTGCTGAGGTTAGGCCAATTGTTGTCTGGATCTTCTTTGAGCCCATTTTCTTTTAACTTTTGTCTTTAATTATTTTTTTCCTTTTATTGTTTATTCTTTGGTTTCAGTTTTCTTTGAGTTTGACTTCTGTTGTTTTAATAATTTTTCCAAGTGTTTAAAATTAAATTTTCCTTTTGGGAATTCCCTGAGTGTTTTTGGTTAGATCTTATTCACTCTTTGTCTTTCTTCCAGAGTCTATATATCCTTTCCTTTCTTTTCTTGCTTATTGTTGCAGGCTACTTCCTCTTCCAATATAATTTTGATGGTGTAGTTCTACTTTTGTCCACTGGGTGGCATTGGACTCCAATTCATTCCTCCTTCTACGTTTTCTTTAGGTTTCCTTCCCTGTGTATACATCTCCTCTTTGTTGTCTCTCTCTGGAACATCCAATGCCTTTACTTCTGTTATAGCCATCTGCCGTTTAGCTGACTCATCTGCTTGCCGCAGCCCCCACCAATTTACTCCATTTACTTCACTTTTTTTCCATCAAAATGTTCTGCTCTCTCTCAGTTCCTGCTCTCCTGCCTCCTCTCCACCTCCTCTCAAAGCTTCCCTGGTATGTATTTCACTCCTCTTAATCCTTTCTTTCCCCATGTGTCTTTTATCTCCTTCTCCTCTGTCCCTTCGTGTTTTCGTTCCTTAGAGCTCAGCCGGTTCTGGAGGTGGCTTTATTTGCTTATCCCTTTCCTGTGTCACATTTACTTTCCTGGTTCAGTTGGGTTTATTTCTATTTCATTTTCCTTGGAGTGTAGTTCAAGGTTCTTTTTGAGTTGCTTCTGCAGTCTAGTTTAAGTTTTACCACCGCAAAGAGGTAGACCCCCTTTCTCGTACCTCACGTTATTCCTGTTGTTATATAATTTGAAGTTCCTGCTTGCCCCTTTTCCTTTCTCTTGTTTCTTTGTTTTTCCCTGGGGTACTTCCTTATTTTTGTGGAGAAGACCAGCACTGTTCATTCAGGAATATAGGCGTTTGCACATGAGAGTGTTCTCTGCTCAGAGCGTTGAGGTTCTCCCCTTTTAGTTTTAAAGTGGGGAAGCCCCTTTTCGTGCCTCCTAGAGCTTTTGTGCCCCCAAGAACCCCACTTGGCCATTGGGGCAACTTCGCCTTCTGTTGCTCCCCATAAACTCTCCTTGTGCAGCTCGTCTGTCTTGAGATAGCAAGAGCACAGACTTCGACCTGATACAGAGCATGCTGATCCGGAAGTGCTGTTATAGCAGATGAATCTCATGAGGTGTCCAGAGCACAGTCTAGTTCTATGCAAATGCAAATACTGATAAAAGAAGGGGGATTTGGGATCC